AAACAAATTGTTTTTGCGCAATCAGGAGGTAAAAGTATAAATATATATTTTATTTCAAAGTAAAAATAAAACAAAATTCTTAGCAGGGTTGAGTCAGGTCCTCTGGACGGGTTTATCTACCTGGATTATTAAGCTTGAATCAGGACAAACCTCTTGAGGAGCTCCGACTAGTCGGAACAACAGAACCATAAAATCCCAGGAATTATGTTCAGGTTTTTAGATTTTCAGTGGTCCCCATGTGCCCCCCCAATTAAAGATTTCTGGAGGTGCCCCTGCCCGTTCCTTTCCAATCAGCCAAGGCTTGACCCAACTAGAATTTAACGAGCAGCACCTGAGAAGTTTTCCTCCTAAAGGGAGGGAAATTGGTTTGCTAGCAGGAAGATGGGTCGTCTTCGACTAGGGGTGTCCAGTCCTGTTTTTTCTTGCTCGCTCCCTCACTATCCATCCTTCAGTTCAAACAGTCTTATACTCCCACCCAGTGGTGAAAAAAGTTACTACACCCTTTTTTTTAAAATTTCTTCTTAAATTTGACAATAATTACTAATTATTGTCAAATTTCAAACAATATTGTTGTTTTATCACAATAATTTCTGAGACAATCGCCCAGGAAAATTAGTTATTGTGACAGGCCTAGTTCTGAAGAAGCCTATTAATGGGTCGGAGCAGAGGAGGATAGTGGCCCTCAAGGGCCACCATGCCTTAGACCAGTGGTTCTCAAACTGGGGTCCCTGGAACCCGGGGGTCCGCGAGCTGGTGCTTGGGGGTTCGCAAATTAAAAAAAAATAAATATATATATACACATACATTATTATTTTATATTTTTTTACAAGCACGTAGCTGTTTAACAACCCATTAAAATACACCAAAATGAAGGAAATCACATCTACTTTATTGAAAATTTCTGGGGGAGGACACCCCCCCCAGACCCCCCCAATTTTAGAATTTTTGGAACTTGAAATTGAAAAAATTAATTGTGTTTTGATTGAAAAATACCTCATGTTCAAAAGTATAAAAATTGTATGAACAGGTCTTAAGTATTTACGTTACACAAATATTTCCATTGCATTAAAGAGACAAACTGAAGAAAACAATTTAATAAACATGAGGGTTGAGGGGTCCCTGAACGTAAGAAGTTTGAGACCCCCTGGCTTAGACCATGTCTATTCACCTAAACCTCTCAGGGGCCGAACATCCAGCAGTTATTCTCAGTGAGTTTGTTTTCTGGTTTAAAATCTAGTTTTATTTAAAAATGAACCCATTGGTGGGCCGAACTGAGCTCACCTGTGGGCCTGATTTGGCCCCAGGACCACCAGTTGGAAAGCTCTACCTTACCATGACATTTGGACCTTAGCACTGAAATAACCCAAACTCCGGTCTTCCTGCTGGGTCAGAACCAGGCAAACAGCTCCACTGTTGGTTCAGCCCCTTTGCTACGGTGTGTTTTGAGTTTTGTGCCCCCGCCTCTCCCCCCAGCTCCTCTAACTGTGTTTCCTCGTGTAGACCGGCCCCATCCCGCTGCAGTACCTGGTCAAGCCCAACCGGAAACGTAGGAGGCCGTCCCAGTCCGCCGCCCAGGGCCACTCCGACGGCGTCAACACGAGCCCGACATCGGAGAGCGACTCCCAGAGCGACAAACTCCACAGCCCCGCCCAGCCGCCCCACGCCGCCTCCTCGCAGTCCAGCCCCGCCCCCCACAGCGCCTCCCCTGCCGTCCAAAGCTCCAACGGCGCTCAGCGGCACGCTCCGGCCTCCAATGCTCGCAAGGTGACTGTGAACGGCACGAGCTCCGGCGCCGGGAAGGAGGAGGCCCGGGGCGGCGAGAAAAGCGGCTTACCTCCGGCGACCTAACGGGGCGGAGGGCGGCGGTTCGGGTTCCACAGAGCAAACAGACCCTTTCTGGACGAGCTGGAGGCGGGTTTACTCTCAGCTGGAGAGACTGAGGAGTGGCGGCGAACGGACGCGCCGACGTCCGTGCGTGTTTGTGTGGTAGAGTAGCTCCGTGCACACGTCCAAACTGTACAGCGTGTATCCAACCTGAGCATGTGTGCGTACATATGTATAAACTTATCTTTTATACGAGATATCGTAACTGTTTTGTATCGTATACGCAGTGGGTCCGTTTCATTTCCACAAACTCGCCTTCGGCTTGCGGCTGCGGGGAAGGTTTCCAGATCCTCGCCTCCAGAGTTCCGATGGGCGACGCGTTCGTTTTCAGAGCCGTCGATGCACTTTGTTCACGTCCCGTCGCAGAAACCGACGAGTATTTTTTCCAGCAACAGAAGCTTTTTTTTAAATTCACACACGAGTCTAAGCACTACCGGCTGTCCTCTGTCCCGCAGGCAGTCCAAGAACTGACAGATGAAAAAAAAAAAAGAAGGGATTTGAAGATTTCGACGTGCAAGTTGTTCCATAAATTTCAACATTCCCTTTGTTGCTTTTCAGACAAAACTTTTTAATCAGCCATCTGTGCATGTTTTAGGTCAATAAAATGTTTACTTACCGATGTTTTCTCTCCAGGTGTCGTCTTTACAGATTTGAAACTTTACATTAGTCCCTCGCTACTTTGCGGTTCGTTTATCGCGGACTCGCTCTATCGTGGTTTTTCAAAATAAGATTGGACATTACACACAATTGGCTGATTCATGGATGAGCGCACGATCGGCATCAAATTTTTGATTAAATTATTTAGCACCTGCTGCACATTTTGCAGCCCTTACTGCAGGATAAACTTCCTGCTGCAGCCGATCAGCTGATCAGCGTACAGAGCAGAGAAGTGGGCGTGGCCAAGAGCGCTTGCAGGTGGCAAAGAGCAGAGGAGGCAGAGAGCCAAAATCATGACATTCTGTCTCTTAGAGCTTTAGAGTTTAGAAACATTGTTTAGAATATTGCAAGAGTGGGAATGGTTTAAAACGCCTTTAAAAAAGTGTATATATATATATATAATAAACTACTGCAGGTACTTGTACTACTTTTCCTACTTCGCAGTTTTTCCACTTATCCCGGGTGTTCAAGTTACAGATCCCCCGCGATAAACGAGGGACTACTGTATTTATAAAAATGTTTAAGAACAAACTAAACAGAAAAGACTTAACAGCTTCAAAACACCTCAGAGACTGATGGTGATGATACTGAATGATGAAGAGTTTCAGGTCTTGTTGGGTCCAATAGCACAGGTCAGGACTGCAGTCTAGAACCAGTCCCTTTTTCCTCTTCAGCCTTTGGAAAGTGAGCAGAATTTGACTTTATTGTATTTTGTTTTGGTGAAAAATGCTCAAACTCCCAAAAAAAAAAAAAAAAAAGAAGTCTTGAATCATCACAGAACCTGATCCATAACCAGAACTGGGCTTTTGGATCTGTTGCTGATGGTCTGGATACTCCTTCAGGTTTTCTTTGAAGGTCCTTCAGAGTTTTCGTTGGACCATGCAGTAGCTTTTTCACTCAGTTTTGGTCCAGAACCTGAAGCAACCCAACTTTTAATTTATGAATCATTCATAAAATGGCTCCTAAACTCAGAACATTTAGCAAAAAAAGTTTAAAATTTTGGATCTTTGTAGCCTGAATCGTTCCAGGTTTAACGACCAACAAATATCTTATCTTGTGTAACACCATACCAGCAGAGCCGGAGCTAGATGGGGGTCAGGGTGGCGATTGCCACCCCTGGAACCTGATTGGACTCCCCAGTTGATTGACAGGTCACTGCATGCGGTATTGAAAGATACGATTAGCGTAAATAAACGACAAGTACCGTCTGTTCTGTCTGGCGCGGAGAGAATCACATCCAGTTATAAAAAATGAAAGTTTGTTCCTCGTTGACGAGGACGACCGTCTCCTATTAACTGGATCCTTCGGAGACCGAAGAGTCCTGGTCTGGATGTGCAGACTTTTCCATAATCTACAAAAACGACGGTCGTTGGACATGTTGGTTGATCTGGATCGGCTGCTAACTGTTTCTGCTGCCTTCACCTCTTGGAGGAGTTCGGTTATTTGTCTCGAGGGGGTTGATCCTCTGATGAGAGGATGTCCTCCGGTTTGACGGCTCCATGGCATGCTCGCCTCAATTGGTCCAATCGATGCTACACGACTTGAGGTTCTGCGTCAAGGTGTCACCGAAGGGTTTCTTTTGACCTCTTATTCTTTTTCCCGTGTAGTTGGGAACAGAAGATCTGTTTGGGAAGGCGGCTGTTGTAACACGGTGGCCGGCCCATCCGAGTTAGTTTATTATGACGATGGATTCAGTTCTGGTCTAAGAATTAGTGACGGCCATGTGAAGCTTTATGAAGCACCGAGGCTTTTCTTGCAATGTGCCGAAAAGATTCGAGGCTCCAGTGGTCGAGATGTCTGGTGGATGTAAGGAACCTTAACCTCACGGGCTCTGTGTCAATCATGTTTTGTCCATTTGTACAAAATAATGAACCTTGTTGGTCATTATACGTTAAAAACGAAGATTTTTAGACACTTAGAAGTACAAAATTTTTGTTAAAAGTTGTTTAACAAATTTGTGTGTCATCACGGACGATGTTATTGCTGAAAGACAACTGTATGCAAAGCAAACACCTACAAATATTTGAGATGTGACAAGTCAATTATCGAAGCACATGTAGATCCTTGAACCCTTTATTTAGTGGAATAAGATCAAATTGATCTCAATTTAAACATTTCCAATGGGTCCCCTGGAGGTGGCACCATTTCTCCTTGAACATCTAGAACAGCGGTGTCCAATCCGGGCCACTATTCTGCATGTATTGGGTGTTCCTCTGCTCTTCAAGAGGTTTACAAGTTCTACAGAAGCCCGCCAATCATTAATACGTTCAAATCAGGTGTGTCAAAGCAGAGAATTGGACCGCACTGACCCAGAATGACATGAGGGACTCCATGGAGACAAGCTCCAACGTCTCAACTGCAACCAACCTGGTCTGCTGTCTACAATGTCAACTAATTTACATCAAAACTTCAAAAGATCAAAATTCAGGAAACCACAAACACGAAGTCTTTAAGGCATTTAATGGATTTATACAAGAATATTTGTTATAACGTGTGAAACAAAAGCGATGGTCAACAAACAGCAGCAGATTAACTGATTTCCTCAGCTTGACGGTGCCACGATGAGCTCATTTAAACAGACCTCTGATGGACTTCACCACGTCCCTGTAGATGACCTTCAGGTGCGTGCCGTCGCAGTACGGGCTGTTTCGGGTCTGTTTGCAGGCACAGAGCAGGACCGTCTTGTCTTTTTCGGGCGTGAAACGGACCGGCGAAATGCCCGGGGCTTTGGCCACGTGAGCTCCGTCACAGAAAGGCTGCCGGAAAAAATAAAATTAAATCTTCTCAGATACACAGATTTTAAGGTCTGGACTCAGCTTTGGGACTCAACAGCTTTAAACTTGAGTTCAGTGCAGGTTTAATAAATCTCTTATCTTCGCCACTTCCTGTGTCTGAAGAGGGTGAAGAGAAGCAACGTAAAAGAGGATGTTTCCTAACAAAATACACAAAAAACCAAATGTCTATCTTCTGTCAATAACCGTGGTCGGGTCGAAGAAGAAGCAGGTCCAGGAGGGAACCGCAGACGAGCTTCTGCAGCTCCTCCTCTAGGAGCCGAAGAAAACCGAATGTGACGTCAAACCAACTGCTGTCTAGTGGTGGTACAAATTTATATCAAGTTTCATTAAATCATCGAGTGGATCAGACGTTATGGGCAGGACAAGCGAAGGTTTCGGATGTACGGTGACTAGACCATAATAATGTCCCAGACTCACCTCAGAGCAGTCTCAGACTCATCTCATACTTGCCTCAGACCAGTCCCAGACTCACCTTGGACTCACCTCAGACTCGCCTGAGACCAGTCCCAGACTTGCCTCAGAATCATCTCAGACTCACCTCAAACCAGTCTCAGACTCATCTCATACTTACCTCAGACCAGTCCCAGACTTGCCTCAGAATCATCTCAGACTCACCTCAAACCAGTCTCAGACTCGCTTCACTTGTCTCAGACCAGTCTCATACTCACCTCAGACTTGCCTCACTCATCTCAAACTCATCTCAGATTAGTCTCAGACTCACCTCAGACCACTGTCATAGTCAACTCACGCTCATCTCAGACTCATCTCAAGACTAATCTCAGACCAGTCTCAAAGTCGCCTCAGATTTGTCTGACTTTCCTCACTCACGAGACCAGTCTCATACTTGCCTCAAACTCATCTCAGACTCACCTCACTCATCTCAGACTAGTCTCAGACCTTTCTCATACTCATCTCAGATTTGTCTCAGACTCACATAAGACCAGTCTCATACTCGCCTCAGACCTGTCTCATACACTCCTCAAAATCACTTCAGAAAAGTCTCGGACTCGCCTCAGACTCACTTCAGACAAGTCTCAGACTTGTCTCAGATCTGCCTCAGACCCATCTCAGACTTGCCTCATGATCACAGGTGAAGATTGGAGCGCAGACAGACCTAAAAACCAGGATCTTCTTCTTCACATGATAGAGCTGAGTCCGAGTCTGGACTGTAGGGGCCCTGATTCTGGAGTTAAACCTCATTTGAATAAATGTAATAAAAATATTTTATCTGAAACTGACAAGTGGAAATTAAATTTAACGAGACAAACGCTCGTTTAGGTGTCACTCCTCAGAACTTTTGGTTCTGTTCATGTGAAATAAATGGAGCACGGATGAAACGTGGGCAGCAGAACCTCAGTCTGAACCAGGTGATCGGCGATCGGACCCACCTGTTTCTTGCTGTGACCGCATGCACACCAGGCATATTTTTTCCCAGCAGACAGCTTTGTTCGGTACGGCAGCCGGGCGGCGGGGACAGGCTGAGTGGACTGAAGACACCTCTGGACCTGCAGGACAAAGAAAGGTGTTCAACAATGAAGCAAGGCGGAGGTGGTGTGATGGCATTGGGAGCCAGTATGTCTAAAGTAAGAAGATCATCAGTGTGTTTTATTTATGTGGATGGGAGCTATGGCAACAGATGTGCTTCATCAACATTATTATTTTTATTTATTTGGATGGTGACCGTCTTAATGGGTCATCTTTCAGTCATCATTTCAGACTTATTTTACATTTTTGTCATTGAATCATGATCTGAGACCATGGAGAGATCTGCAGAATAGGGCAAGCACACGCATTATCTAATCATTAAACTAAATCCTTGAAGCAGATGTCTATAATTTATTTAAGTCATTCAGTTTGCCATTATTAGTTTATAATCAATATTTCAGACATTCTTCCTATCTTAACTCCTGCCCTGAGATTTAAGCTTCAGGCAATTGCAAATATAATTTTTATTTTATTCTAAAAATATATTGCAAAAAAACTCCCCCGAAATCAAAGAACTGACATTTTACATATTTAATATTGCTGCCAAAATCAATTACTTTATTTAAGATACTGGAAAAGAAAGTAATATCCCAGAAATCTTGAATGAATTTTTAAACATTCCCTCCCAAAAAAGACATAATATTAAAACAATAAAAATGTTATTAGGAATATTGTTGCTGTTTCAAGTGCTTTATAAATAAAGTGGTATGGTATATTCCGTATTTATTTGTATTACAACCAGTCAAAAATATTTTAGGGAAATCACTGAAGTAATTTAAATATAAAATATATTAACTTTAATAACTATAATTCAATTAATTTTTTGTTGTTGTTTGGAAACAATTTAATTAGATATTGGTATTAAAAATCTTGAATGATAAAGTTTGCTAGAATTTTAATAAAAATAATTGTTTCTGATAAAGTTGTACACTTTGAAATATCGCTGAAATAAAATAGTTGATTCGTTTAATTATATGTAACAACGGCCTGCCTTAATCTACAAAGACGTCATTAGGCTGATTAACGCGCCTTCAGATAACATTATTTTGTTGAAATTAGCAGACTGAACTTGAACCAGTCGATGTTGTGCATTGTCCATGGTTAATTTGGCTGAACGGACGACATATTATTTAATCCACATGTCAATAATATAATAATGATAATAATATCTGATTATGGCGCGGTCACGTGCTCATCTACCAGTGAGAAGTGGTCAAAGGTGAATAAGGTGCGCCGGGTTTGAATGTTGGCACACAGAAAAAAAACGTGTGACTCAGCACCTTCAGGTGACACGCTGCGTTCTTCAGAGGAAAAACAAGTAAAACAAATAAAAACATAAACAAACACCAGCCGTCGGTGCAAAGCAAGGACATATTCAGCTGCGGCGGCGGACTCACCGTGGAGCCGGAAAAAGCCGGAGGTCGTCGAAAGGTCTGCGCACATCCTCTGCGCACTGCGCACATCACCGCGCTCATCTTGACGCTGTCTGCAGATCAGAACCTGAAGAAGATGAAGACTTTTATTTTCCTTCTGGCAGAACTGGACCAAACTTCGAGAAATCTCGACCGTACATGATTGCGCATGCGCAGCGGAATGCACGACTCCGCCCCTTCAATGGCGCGTCAGAACATGACTGCGCATGCGCCTCAGATTGACACTGAAGACTCCTCCCGTACTTGCCATACATGTGTGCATATACAGTACTTAAAAATAAATTAATTAATTAATTAAATAAAAAAAAACTTTATTAAGTTTCCATCAACATTATAAACATTTGTCTGCCAGGGGTATATTAATGGGTACAAAGGAAATAGTGTTCAAGTATTAGATGGTATTTTTTCATTCATTCATTCAACCTTTATTTAAACAGGTTATCCCATTGAGCCACAAGGACTCATTTACAAGAGAGATCTGAATTTTAACAAAAAGTGATGACAACAGTGGATATCAACAACAACAACAGACATTCACAAATGATTCATACAAAATTGTTTTGTTTTTTTAACAATTGAAAACAAAATTATAATTAAAAGGGAAAAGAAACGTAGTGAAAAAACAGCTAGATTATGAGGCGGTTAAAACAGGAACATGTCTGCATTGGTTCTTGCCAGGATCTTAACAGATGTTTAAAGCCACCTAGAGCAGTCAAGGTCAAGAGCTTCAAATCTTTTTGTAAGATATTCCAGGAAACAGGAGCGGAGTAGGAGAAAGCCCTTTTGCCTAGTTCAGTTCTCACTGAGGGAACACTGCAGGTAATAATGTCCTGAAAGCGCACGCTGTACCGGCACTCACACAGTGACATGTAGGAGGAGATATATGAAGGCAACAGACCGACAAGTGATTTAAAGATGAAAATGTACCAGTGAGAGAGTCTGCGTTAAGATAATGATGTCCAGTTAACCAGTGAATACAGGGTGCAGTGGTGGGTACGATAGTTACAGCCAGTTATGAATCCTATTGCATCATGATAGACAGCATCCAACATCTGCACGGTGCTTGTAAGAGCGTTCATTAATGTCACCGTAGTCAACGGAGGGAAGGAAAGTCACAGTTACAAGGCATTTCCTAGCATTCGGAGTTAGACAAGTTCTGTTTCTGAAAAAGAAACCCAATTTAACTTTCAGTTTCTTTACCAAATTTTCCATGTGAAGCTTAAAAGAGAGATGCTAGTCGACCAAGATGCCCAAATATTTATAGGAATTGACAAACTCAATAGGGACACCATTAAAGGATAAAATCAGAGGAAGAACTGCTGGGACTGACTTCCTGTTTTGAAAAAAAATGGGACGGATGGATGGTTTTGTTGGCATTTAGGACAAGTTTGAGATGAAACAAATCTGGATGATGTCGAAAGCAGACTGCAAAAGCTGGAACGCCTAAGTAACTGTTTTAGCTCGACAGTAAACAACTGTGTCATCAGCATAGAAATGTAAGGATGCATCAGGGATGCTCTCTGACCTACGTTACCTATGTAGATTGTAAAGAGGGTGGGTCCTAAGAATGAGCCTTGTTGTACACTTGTTAACTATTAAATAACTGGAGGAAATACCATTATGTTGAACACATTGCCTCCAATCCGAAAGATAGTTAGAGAAGCAACCAATAGTATGATATGATAAACCAATTTCTGGGAGCTTATGACACAAGATGTCATGGTCCACAGTGTCAAAAGTTTTAGACAGATCTAAGAAAAATGCAGCACAATAATCTTTAGCATCCAATGCTTCAACAATGCCATTAAAAATGTTCAGTGAAGCAGTTGTTGTGCTGTGTTGTTTCTTGAAACCAGATTGCTGGAAAGGTAATGTTAAATGAGTCCAGATACTTTTTGATTTGAGAGTTTATCAGTTTTTCTACTTTTGTAGTTTTTCTTTTCATTTACAGATTATATACCTGTAGACAAATTCACATTAAGTATTTCTATAACCGAAATATTTTTCATTGTCTTTTTGTTTTCCAGGTCTCCCTTGTAAATGATTCCTCGTGGCTCAATGGGACTAACCTGTTTAAATGAAGGTTGAATGAATGTTTTCAAGTATATATATATATATATATATAT